TGAAAAGATAATAAATTTTTGGAATTCTCGATAAAAGAGTAAACAATGGAGGCCATTCCTCTACCCCTCCATCCCTACTCTACCTCTCCCTTCTGCCCCTCAGTTATGCTATTTAAGAACCGAGGGTTCTACTCTTCGGTTAGTTTGGTCTCGTACTTTAGTCAGGATGTCTCGTACTTCTACTCCTACCGATCTACGCTGTGCTCGGCCTAATTGTGATTCCACAAGTGTTTATAGAGTGATATGTTGTGAGTGCGAGAGATGTTTTCACACGAGTTGTGTTAATTTAGAAGACAAGGACTTCAAAACATTCTTGTGTGAAGGGTGCTACGAAGCCAAGAGAGGAAATGAAGAAAGTGGTAGTTGTCTTCCTACCGGCGAAGAAAGTAGCACAAATGAAGAGGAGAAAAATAGTAATTGCACAAACCCCGATTGCATAAAGAGAAGTAAGTGCTTTTGTCAGAATATGTTTGAACAACCTAACAAAAGTACCGATTGTAGTGAGAACAAGCTATCCATAGATGAAGAAGAAGAAAATCCGGTGAGTACAGAATCTGTTAAAGAAGAATTTCGTACCCCCTGTGCCAATAAACCATGTGGAATGAGAGGAAATAATTTAGTTACCTGCATCAGCTGCAGAAAATTTTATCATTCAGGATGTATCGGAATGCCTAATTGTGATAACACATTATCTTGGTGTGATAGTTGTTGTTATTCCCCAGTGCGAAAGCCTGTTTCACATCTAGATATCACCAATATTGCCGCCAAGATGGATGAATTATTTATTAGTAACGTTAACGTGCGGGCTTCATCTTCAGGAAATGGGGGAGGTCCTAGACTTGAAAATCTAGATCTAAATTTCGATGATGAAGTCATGGAATTGTTGACTTACGATCCCTTCCTTAACGATCCGGACCTTATTGATTATAATCCTGCTTTAAGCCGTCGCAATCCTGATTTACCCCCAGGACCATCGACTCTAGAAGAAATAAGAGCTATGAGAGATGAGATAAGACAAATCGAAATAGATTGGAGAATGACTGAGATGTGGATGCAAAAGGCAAAGGTCATCCATCATGATATGAATTTGGGATTTCGAGATGAGCTGACCTCACACATGATGGATATATACTACGCGGCCCCGTGTGAAATGATGCATTGTGAGTTTAAAGGGATGTACCGTGTCACCTGTATAAAATGCCGACGTTTATTTCATACAGGCTGTCTCTCTTTGCCGGATTACGACTTCGGAAATGCCGTGTGCTTCCGATGCCCTATTTCGGAAAGTGATAATAATCACACAAAGGAAGATTTTATGGCATTGAATATATAAAAAAACGTTTATAATTATATTTCAATAATTCATGTTATATTATAAACTTATTTTTAATGTTGGTAGTTGCTTAGCTTCATTAATCTTTAAATGAAGTTAAAAACATGTTTTTTATTACCTTGTTATATTATAAAAATTAATTTTTAGTATAGGAAGTTGTTTAATGTTTGAATAAAATTTAAAAAAAAAATTTTCTATTATCCTGTTGTACTAAAAATTATTTTTTGATAAATATAGGTATATTCCATTCCCATCTTATGTATGATTTTAATAAAATTGTAACTATTTACTAAAACTATAATTATAATATATTAAAACTATTGTAATTTTTATTGTTGTGAATATGATTGGGTAGAATAAAAAGCAGTGTAAGTGGGGTTTGATGTTGATTTTAGGAAACTATACTAGAGGACATTAATTAATTAAATAAATGATTTTAAGAAATTAAGCCTATTTATTTCTACCAATTTAAACACACACACACACACACACACACACACACATATATATATGTATGTATATATATATATATATATATATATATATATATATATATATATATATATATATATATATATTTCATTATCAAAAAAAAGATTATAACTTTGTAAAAGCTCATTACAAATAGCATGAAACAATTTAAATATATTTTTTTTTCATCACGCTTCGCTCATAGATCATGAGTGTTTGTTTTGTTAAATGAGACTCCTGTGGACATTGAGGGGAAAAGAATTAAGGAAGAAATGCCAAGGCTGTAACCAAATAAAATATCTCAATATATACTTGATAAGTTTGAAGATTTTGGAAAAAATAAGATCTATATTTAATTTCCTACTGTAAATTGAACAAATATTTATATAAACTTTTTTCTAATCCTCGAGGTCTGCTATCATTCCTTTAAATATTTCTTTCTAAAATTTATTGGTAGGAAATAAACGCACTCATTACAATACAAAGAAATCTAGTGCGCGCAACACACAACTTTCACTTACCGATCTACTATGAATAGAAATTATTTTCTGGCAATGCTGGGCTATTATAAATTTTTTTGAAGTGCATTTTAAACGGAGCTAAAGCTTAAAACTTACAGATAACAATTCATTAGGACCATTATAATTACAAAATGTCTATTTAATATATCGACAATATGCAATAAAAATCTAGTTACTCCATCTGCTTTTATAAACCACACAACTTTCTTTGCTTTTATATACTTCAGAACGACTAACTCCAATTTCAATATTTTTAAGTTATGTCATTTTAGTGATATTTTTAGTTGAAAAAGTTATCTATGCAGAATATGAGTAGGTTGATTCCGGAGGTGGTGATTGCAATGTTGAAATAATCAGTAAGTAAATAGAACTGAGAATAAAGGTATAAATTTATTTACTTATTTCTTATGAAAAATGTTCTTAGGAAAGATACTTTATAAAATATTTGTAGAAAAAAGGTTTTTTTAGTCTCAACAATTAAAAAAGTATATTTTAAATTTATCCAAATTTTCGCCTCTTCAGGAAAAAAAACTAGAGACCATATCTTTCTTCCTAGATTGTCTGTTTTTTTTTTTTTTTTTTTTTTTAGGAAATTCCATAAACTTTTAAAATACCATATACAATATTCCCAAAAAAGTGTATACTTTTTGAGTTATTTGGAATTTAATTTTACTATCCCTCGTAACTTTTTTCCCAGCTTCTTTTCTTTGAAGTATGTTATATAGATAAATTGAAAGGGTGTCGAGAAAATGACTTTAGCGAAGTTTCATTGAAATCGGTACATTCGTTTAGACGCTACAGTCTATAGCAACGCAGGTTTTTCTGCATTTTTTTTTTCTCCTTTATTAACATATCAAATTCTTTCAAAAGTTATATTTAGCATTTTTCCATTACTTTGAATAATGTGAAATCATTAACATTTTAAAATAAACCATATTAAAGGTACTTCAGAGGAAGACGTATATGAACATTGGGCATTTAAGCCCTGTAAAGTGACATCAATGGGTATAAGACCTAATTGATATCAAAGACCACTTAATTATACAATGATACACCAAGTTTTTGTATATCGCGGATAGTTGTTTATGATTCTCATGCACACGTTTTGAATCACTTCAAGTTTTCTGTAGTTAGACTTACAAGTATAACTCCATACTGGGGAAGAATATGTGATTATAGGGCAGATAACTGCTTTATATAAAACCAATCTATTTTTTTGAAGATAATTGGGAATATCTATTGAAATACGGGAATATTTTGCTAATAATGTTATCTAGTTAAAGGCCTAAATATTTCACTAAATTGGACCATGGGATCTGTTTGTATTTTATGAGTATGTTGTGACTTATACTTCTTAGTCTTTTTTTGTGGAATTATTGCTTCTGTTTTTTGTTCGTTTAATTTTATCTTCTATTTTCCAAATTATTTGATGAGTCTTATAAGGTGGGATTGTAGTCTGTTTGCTAGTGTATCAATTCTGAAAGAAGATGTATAGATTGTTGTATCATTTGCATATAGTGAGTGTTCTACTGAAGGGATATTTAAAATATATAGATTAAATAGGGTAGGAGAAAGACAGGATCCTTGAGGAAGACCTGCAGATAGGGAATGGAATGAGGAATGGACATTCAATACGGTAATGCAAAAGTATCTATTGTTGAGACATGAGCGAAGGAGATGGATTATGTAAGGTGGGAATTTATATAAAATGAGTTTAGTTATAGTTGTGGGTTGATGGTTGACTGTAGTGAATAATAAAGAGAAAGATAGTTGGGGTGATCAGTCCAAGATAAAAATGGCAAAATTAAATAATAATATTTATTTTAACATTTGCCGACGTTTCGACCCGAAGTTCAGGCCTTCATCAGGGCTGAGAAAACAACCAAATAATAATTGGTATGAGAAACATAAACAATTTAGGTAAAAAACAAAACAAAAAAACTTAAAGTAAAATAAAGTAGGTAGAATAATGACAATATCAAGAACTAATGAATGATTATAAAGCGTGAACTAATGAAGTAAACATAATCAAAATAAGATAGCATAAGTACTAAAATGGTAATGTTAGAATAAAATGTAAAACAGAGAAAAGGAATATGATGAAGCTATATATGTAATAAATAGAAAAGTTGAGATATTGTAAATAGAATAGTTAAATAGAAAACTGAGATATTGTGAAGTCTATCAAAATATACTGATTACATATAAGGGAATAAAGAGTTAAAATAAAGCAAAAAATAAATGAGCAAATGTATGAATCGCTTTGGTAATGCAGTCGGTCAGTCTAGCTAATTGAGCTAATGTTGAATGATTGTTTCTTAAACCGAATCGCTTTATCTTCAATCAAAATCTTCAAGGTCCAATTTGTCCCGTTTCGATCTACAGACCTACCACCGTATTGAGACCTAGACAAAATGTTTGTTTATTTTACTTTATTTATTTTAGAAAGAAAAAGAAAACTGGAGAATACGATTAGCTAATCAGCCGTGAAATTCTGAATCCAGCGGTACCCCATTCATGATATTTGAGCATGACAGGAGCTTATATTTGGTACAAAACAGATTTCGACCCTTACTCTAATAATATATGTGGGGATGGGGATAAATTGGAGTAATAATACATATGCGTAAACAATAATAGATAGTCAAAATGTATTAGTTAACGATATAGAAGACGTAGTTTTGTTTTTCTTTGAGTATTATTGCTTAGTGTATAAGTTTTGTTTGATGTAAACATAAGAAATTCAATATATGACTGTTCAGAAGCTAAAGCGAAAGTGTTGATTATTCGCGTGGTAGTTAATCATTTACATTGTGTTCTACTCACCTTTAAGTCTACTGAACACAGAGGATTATTGCAGCTAAGATATCTAGTAAGTGATATTAAACTAATAAATAAGCGAATGTTACATAAATAGCATCTTAAGCCTATATTAATCAATTAAATATAACCCTTTTACTACAATGAATATTTTTGACATGCTGTCTTTTGCCATTTTTACTTCAGAAACAATGTTTTTAAATTTGTTGATTATTTTATTTAAGTTAAAAAGTTTTAAAATATTTTTAACTTCTTTGAAACTTTCGGTAATAGATGGCTCATTATTAGAAGGGTTATTTTCATTAATGTTTTTTTAAACTATTTTGAGTTTTTGGTAAGGAAGGAAAATCATTTTGTTTATATATGATAAACAAGAATATTTTCCGTTGTGAAGGGTGTATTAAAGGTGAAACACATTTTTAGAATTTTCTCAAAAACTGATCTAAATGGTCCCATATCAATTTTTTCAAATTCCATCCACCACTTACACAAGCGCAAATGTATTCCCTTAGCTATGCCAATATTTCAGAAACGACTCGTTCGATTTGACTCAAAGTTGGAAGAAAAATATATGTTAGTAAAAAAATAATGCTTTATCAATTCCATTTCATTCAACTCGCAACTTATTTTTCGTGATATGTCTATATCTTAATAACCGCTAATTCGATTTGGCTCAAATTTGGAGGGAGGTTAGGGATTGGTAAATAGAAAACCATGTAGATATTCATTTCAAATAATTCTATTCCCTACTTTCAGAAAATACTTCCGCTTTTAAATTCGAAAACATCTTGTTTTTAACACGCCTATATTTCGGGAACTACTCGTTCGATTAGTCCGAAATTTGAAGGAAATAGAGAGAATACTGTAGAAATTTCCTAGTATCAATTTCATTTAATTATATTCAACAATTAAAATTAATTTATATGACTCATATAAAATATAATGGCGGTGAAATGTGAAAGACATTGGTCATGTGAAAGGAGGTTACATTCGTAGTATTGTTTTATGGGCTTATACAATTTTAGACTGTATTCAAAAACGTTAATTTAAACTTGATTTTATGTCATTTACATATTACTGGCATGACACCTACTACTGCCGTTACAAAAATTTCATGTAATTTTCAGTGATTTTGGAGGTTGAAACTTAGATTTTATATAATATAGATTTTGCCAAATCCCTTCACCAGCTTAAATTTTTCACAGACTGTAAAAAATAACGTCATATTTGTGAGTTTCTTTGTTCTTTTTGAAGTTCAACCAACTGTTTATGGTCTCGATTTACCTCTTAAATTTCAAAGTGTCAAGGGACTTAAGCAAGCATCCATAACTTTAAAATATGTATAGGCCTTCATCTCCTGTATTTTGTTGGTGAATTTGGTGAGGAAGCTGTACTCACCTTATTTAGCAAACGTTTTTTGTATAGATTCATTTTTATTTCAGAATTAGTTTACTATTAGATCATAACTAGTTTTAGTATTTCAGTTTTGTCGCTACTATATCAATACTTATCTTTTCTGTTATTATAGTTTTGTATTCACTGTATTAGACCTCATAAATTATTAATTAGTTTGATTTTATTCTTATATCACCTTATCATTAGACTTTATTATTACATTTTATTATTAGAATTTATTTTTATAGACTTTGTGTAAATCATATACATAATATTGCTTTACTATTCACACTAATTATTGTTGTATGACATATACTCCTATACTTGTCATGTCGTATACTTCTATTCTTATCCTATTTTATTCTTGTTGTTGTTGGTTATACGCAGGTATTCATATTTCACTCATTCTATTTATTATCTTATATATTATTGCTTCTATGTATTCATATGTATGCTGTAACCAAGATTAAGAAATCATTGGAAAAAATACAACTTTTAGACTTTTGTTTCCTGTGACTGATTATTAATTTATATTTTTTAGCATGTGTATGTGCTCTTATATCTTATATCTTGACTATCGTTTCTTGATGTTTATATTTGGCATGCCATACTATTTTATATAGAATAAGTATCTTTTTTGTTATTTTTATTATCTAGTAATTATGTTTAAATTCTCTCTTTTTCCTTGTATTTTATTACTTTTTATTGTACATAGTATTAATTCTGTAAATATTTCTGTAAACCTTTTTTGCTGCTTTATAAAAAAATATTCAACCTAACCCCTTCTCACCATGGTAGAATAAATATTTAATGATGGCTAAATAATGGGTTTATGTTTTCTAGATTTTTCTCTTTAGAGATGAAAGGCTGTTTAAGCTAGGCGCCCAACAAATAAAAATTCCTATGGAAAAATTTTTTTTTTATTTTTATTTTTTTTTTATTCGTAATCGCCTCTACCCTAGAGGGTTATTGGCGGCTACTTTGCTATATTCTATTGTAATGTTTCGTCTCTATTAAGTATCGCAATAGGGTGGTGACTCCATCTTCGTTGTCTCTCAGTATCTCTTTTATTGTTGTTGGTAGTTTCAATTTTTGCCGAATGTTGTTGAACTCGTTGCACTCTACTAACAGGTGTTTTACTGACTGCGGTTTATTGTCACACTTTTGACACGTGGGTGGTTCCAGTCCTCTGAGAAGGTACCCGTGGGTAAACAGGCAGTGGCCAATTCGTATTCTACACATATAGTTTCTTCTCTTCTGGATATTCTTGTGCTAGTAGCCCACTTGTAGCAGTCTCTTTTTATTTCTAATAATTTTGACTGTTCAGTTTTCCATCTATTTACCCACTTTTCCAACAACTTCTTTTTTGTTGCGTGTACCCAGTCCTCCACTGTGGTACAATTTATTGAAATTATGGTTGGTGCCTCTCCCTTCCTTGCTGAGTTAGCTGCTCGGTCTGCTCTTTCATTGCCTGTGATACCACAATGAGATGGAACCCAGACAAATATCACTCTGACCGTTCTTTCTTTTAATTCCCACCATAGATTCAATATATCTCTTATAATTGAATTGCTTGGCCATGGGTTACCTATTGCTGTCATGACGATTTTGGAATCTGATGCTATCATCCATTGATTGTCATTGGAATTTGATATCCAATGGAGGGCCTCCATGATCGCAGTAGCTTCTCCGGTAAATATGGAGCTCTCTCCAGGTAAGCTAAACAGAAGTTGGTGTTGGTTTTTATTAATATATACAGCGCAGCCAACACTATTTTCCATTTTGGAGGCATCGGTATATATCACATTAAATCCTTCGTATTTCTCCAATAATTCAAAAAAGTAGTTTTGGATATCCAGTGGGTATCCAGTAGTAAATTAATATTTACTAAAAATTATTTTATTATCTTTTCACTTATTATTTTTTTTGGTCATAATATATAATCCTTATTATAGCTAGAACTCATACTATTGTTCTTATAATATTTAATAAGCATTATATAATATTATTGTTATGTAGTTATATTATAAATTAAAATTAAAACTTATTAAAATTGTAAAACTTATTTAGTTATTATTAATGGCATCGACCAGATAGATGGCTACGGCCAGGCCTATTATTAGTTATTGGTAATTGGTTAAATAGTAAATAGTAATTGGTTAAATAGTAAATAGTAATTGGTTAAATAGTAAGTAGTAATTGGTTAAATAAAACACTAAAGTCTAGCGAGGTAACTAACACCTTAATGAAAAAAAATAGTCTCTAAATTATATTCTTGGAAATTGAGTGGTAGAGCACATTCCATGACAGGACATTCCAGCAATAAACTTTAAGTTGTTTGATCCCTTCAAACCGTCATAAATTTTATTATTCAGCAGGTACTCGGAACTTTTAGGCAGACCTAGGCAAAATTTCTGTCCTTGCCAGCGGGAGCCAAAAACGACGCAGTTCCAACTCTACATTACCTCATTAAATATTCTGGAAACAAGATGGAGTTAATTCATAATATATTTTTCAATGTAACCTAGCGGTAGTGAAGCTTCAAACGGGATAGGCGTTAGTTAAATTAGGTTTCAAAACTAATTTATCAAGAGCCAATTTATCTTTCTTCGAATTAAAAAAAAAAAAAGTGGCACTTCCGGTTAGCCGATTTTAAGGAAAAAGTTGCCATCACAACTAAGGCATATACCTATCTTAAATACGTGATATCAGTTTCATAGGACTTTTCGTTTTTGAGCTAGATACACGGTGGGCCAGACCCCCTTACCGTGCACCCGCCACATCCCTATAAATTGCATATCGTTGTGTTCCTTGTGACAATTTATTAAAAAAAAGCCAATGTTCCCACAAAAAAAGTGAAAGAACTGCCCCAAAATGGCGTCCAAAAATGGCGGATTGACGACTTTGACTTTAGTTAGTTTTTTTGTTACTGAGAATCAGCATTTGGCTTAATTTCATCATAGTTGGTCTTTTGTTAAAGCTAGATAGTCAGAGAATATTAAAACATGAAAACATATTAAAAACTAATTGGCTTAGGCATTAAAAAAAATCGGTAAAGTCAATTTTTTTTACAAAAAAATTTTAAAGTTTAAAATCATGCGTCGTTTGTAATTAAACGGTCAACGATAATGCAAAACAAGCTGAAATAAAATATCTGGAGAATACATTTCTCTTTCTAAAACACTGCTTACTTTTTAAAATATTTGAAGTAGTTCCGTAGAAAATGTACATAAGCGGCAGAAAAGCTTACTGGCGTAGGTGCCTTCAGGCCTCTACCACACCACTCAGTACTCATAATGGCTTAGTTATAGTGCTATAATAACGTTTTTGTTATATTATATTGATTGTATTAACGAATAAATATTAATACAATAATTTAATTGTCAAAAAAAATTTGTTTTTAAATTTATTATCATTCATTTGTTTAAATTTAACTTCCTTTATTCTACACGGAGATCGCTTAAGAAGGCCTCTGTTATAAAAATTACATAATTATGATAATAAAAATTAATTCAAAAATACTTTGCAGAATATCTTGAATTTTGTATTTAATATTTGCAATTTAACATTTTGTTTTATATATTTACTGATTCTTAGAGGTAATTTAAATTGTAAATACTTCCCCGGAAATGAGTCATATTAATATCTGTTTTATAA